GATTTTTTATTTTTTTTTTCGCTTCTCCGAAACGGACAGATGTCACGTCTGCAGCTCCTCCAGAGCGCCGCTCTCCTGGGTAACGTGAACCCAGAAGGCTCCATTTGTTAAATCCGCTCCCAGCGGTTTTTAATTCTTCGCAGTGGCGTAACGTAACTGCCTCCGCAGTGGTTGAGCAGCAGACTGCGCATGTTACAATCTAATTAACTTTTGCATCGTCATTTATTTCCTCAAGATAAACTGCCGGCTCCTCAGATGGATTAACACAAAGTTGCATTCTCTTTAGTTTTCTCTGGTCTGTAATGGAGACTTGAATTTAACGCGCTATATCAAACAAAGGTTTCGAATGCGCTTCCTAACCAGAAGCTCCAAAGAGTTATTTAACAAACAATATGAGGTGTTCAATTTATTTTTAACATTGTATTTTCATACATTTTATGCTAGGGGTGCCCAAGTCTAGTTTTCCAGAGCTACTATCTGCAACTTTAGATGCGTTCCTCCTCTAACACACCTGGATCATTTACTCATTATAAGGCTCTACAGAACTGAATGAGGGAAGTCAACCTTTTGTCTGGGTGTGTTTTAGCAGGGATGCATCTAAAAGTTGCATTCTGGAGGACCGAAACTGGGCACTCCTGATTTGTACCGTCAATGTGGCCCTTTGAGGGTGGCCAATATGCTGAAGTGGCCCTTGGTGAAATTGAGTTTGACACCCCTGTTCTAGACAGTCGGTAGGTAGGTCAGTCAAACTTTATTAATAGATTACAAACCAGCGTTCTGACAACTATCACAGCATCACGCTTCTTCTTCTACGGGCGAAAATGAAGTCGGCGGCTATGGGCTGCTTACCATAGTTGCTAGACCTGTTGTGGCTCAATATTGGTCTGTATAAGGCGCATCGGATTATAAGGCGCAGTGTCGGCTTTTGAGGAAATTGAAGGTTTTTAGGTGCGCCTTATAGTGCGGAAAATGCGGTAAGTCGCATCACTGTTGCACTGTTGTATTCTTGCCCTTTGCTTGGCTTCTACCTAATTATTTAAAATTATTTAAATGAGAATACAATGAACTAAACTAAAGTGAACTATTGATCAAGCCTGCTGATCAATAGTCAGCAGGCTTGATAGGTGCATCCCTATTCCCTAGTAGGGAGTAGGGATGCACCTATTCCCATTAGGGAATAGGTGCAGCCCTAATGTATTAAGCTCTCTAAAACAATAACTAACTTTAAATCTAGAAACAATAAAATTGATCTCTATTCTTGTAAAGTTCACAGAAAGTCCTAACAAAGTCTGAACAATCCCAGACCTAACCAATTTGTTGGCTGTTGTTCTAAGGAAGGGGATACCTTTATCTGCCATTTTGCAATAGCTTCTTCTAGCGTGCTATAAAAATAATCTGGGCTTGCCCACTTTAGCTGCAGCTGGATTTTGAGGGCAAGGTCAGGCAGAACAGGAGGAATGACATTTCTATCTCAGGGCAGTTGCCTCATTACACGGGGAAAACAGAGTATCAGCCTTCCTGATCTTTCAGGCCTCCCTCACCATGCATTAGGCAAGACAATAAATGTCAAGCAGCTCTGCTCCTCAGCTGGTCCCCCACAAGTGAGATTCATTACTGAGCTGTAGGGATAATGGCAGTCCATCTCACGAGAGGAAGTGAAAGGCTCCCTATCCCTGGGACAAGATCAATAGTCAGCAGGCTTGATCAAGAAACAGGCGATGCTTCTATAGGCGCTGGTCTGGAAGGTAGAACCCCCACTCCACGGCATCACGCCTCCGGATTCCTGTCTTTTTCTTACCTCTGCCAGAGCAGCAGTCTAGCCTGTCAGAGTTCAACTTGCTCACAATCAGATATTATACACAAAGACATATCTGGTGATTATTGTCCAAAGATACAAACACTTTTTCAGCATTATCCGTGCCTGACTGCTTTAAAGTCTAGATAACAAGGGCTTGAGTACAACTTGGCAAAAATATGTGTCTGTTTGGATGAGGCGAGGAGGCTGTCAGAGTTTGAACCGCTAATGAGAATCAATGGGGTACAGAGACAGTCAGAAGATACCCTTTGTGTTTGTTGCATCTGACATTTCACTCAATTTCCATGTCTCCTTGTGAAAATCTATTCCCAAGCAATCTAAATTAGAAAGCGGAAGAATGAATGAAAATGGACAAAAGGGAAAAAAGTTGTGGGCCGAAAGCATATTACACGTCAGGGTGACGCACTGCAGGTACAAAGAGATGGCAGACTGTCATAACTATGTCAGAGTTATGCCAGGAAAAAAAAGTGTTGGCGAACATAGCGGCACTTACATGCGAAATGGATGCTGGCTCTGCGGCTCAGGATGGAGCCCAGCGTGTTGAAAGCCGTGCACTGGTACATCCCGCTGTCTTGGTCCTTGTCCAGGTTCCTAATGATCAGGCTGCCCCCAGACATGTGACGCCGGTAGTCGCTCCCCAGATCAATGAGCGTTCCGTTTAGTGACCATCTGGAAAAATGCAAACACAATCAGTGAGCGCTCAGCGTTTATCAGAGATCCGTTTGATCGGCCTGCCTACATCATGCTGAAAGGATAAAAGGTGAGTAATAAAGAGTACGGGTTTCAAATTACAAGGAAGGGACGTGTAAACTGCCTTTGTGCCATGTTAGGGTGACAGAAAATGTCACAGTTGGATCCAACTGGTCTGAGTTTATAAAATTCCACTGTCCAGCTGTATGGGAAAATTAAAAAAATAAACTAACTAATCATCTTTGGTATTGTGACTTTTGTCTGGCCTCTAATTTTTCTTCTATCCCAGTTTTAATTAGTCCCAGTAGAGAAGTTTGTTCTGGATTTGATCAACTGAGTTGCTGTCCCTAAACCAAATTAGTTCTTGTACCTAAAACTAAGCAAACAAATGAAACAGCAGCTGAAACATTCATTATCAGGATACAGTGAACTTTTTTTTTCTGACCAAAAAAACAGAGATGCAGTTCCAATTTAAATAGATTACTTCAGTTGGTATCAAGTATTTAAGTTTATTCAAGTTAACAGTGGTAGGTACCTCTAACTAGAAGATCAATTATGTCAAAGCACTAATCATGAATATTAGTTCTGCTAACACTAAGGTGCTAACCCAATGTACTAATTTGTAGAAGCTAATGCTAACATGCTAAAACACCAATTTAAGCCATGTCAATCCCTATCATGTATCAATGACACACCACTGATACATGGTGTATCATGTGTACCAGACATATAAGGTTGGTCCCTTTCTCAGCTATGAGCACAGTTGACCTTCAGGAAGGGATTCTTTGGAACAAACGTTTCACTCAAGGATTCGGTAATATAGTTGAGTTTAAACTGTTTAACGTAGAACAGCATTGCTTTCTGGGTACTGAATTGACATCATTTGCTGCACCAGATCTTGGTTAGAGAATGTGAGGAGAGGAAAAAGAACTGCCATGTACACAGTCTTCACCCACTTCAAAATAAGACCATCTAACTACTTGAGGAATTCTTAAAAGGTGAAAACCAAAACTTCAACAAAAATGTCAAACTTTATTCAACTGAAAGTTTATAAAACAGCCAAGTAAATCAGTATTAATCAGAGATCTTTGGAATCAATAAGGAAATTTTAATATAGGGAAAGCTAAGTTAGCTGATGGTTTTCAAAGGTAGCAAAAAGGAAAGGAATGGGCAAAAAATGAGTTTCCCTGCTAGCGCATTAGCAGAATTGTCCTCACATCTGCAAGTTTATTTATTAGGTTTGTTGAAACTGACAATTTAAAAACCTTAACAAAATAACTTGGATGGTTCTAAGTCAATTATTTGTTACCAATTGCAGCAATTATTTTTTGATGGCATGACTGCATGAAAACTAAACCCACACTACATACAGCTGTGTGACCATTTTGTTAGCATATACCATGCAATTATGTCTTAATGTTATATTTCATATTATTGTGACAAGCAGGTATAAAATAAAACATTGTAACAAGACATTTTGAGCACATAGCATAGGCAGAATGATTCATCTAAGAGTTGCAGGCTATATCTTGAAGACAGTTGATAACCAGTGTTGCTGGTAGTAGCTGGATTGTTATTTCCCACTTAATCACCGTGCATACTTGGAAAATGATTACACTGGCTGTAATTTTGTCGGAATGTGCAATAGAAGGCAGATTTGAATCTGAACGGCGATGGAAACGTCTAAATATTTTGTGATATTAACAGAAGAAATCCGAGGGACCCATGCAGCCTTGGCAGATTTATGCGCTCTGAGTGCTTTCTAATTAGTTTCTGTTTGTGCCTTTGTATTTCTGATGTATTGCTCTCTGACACCTTCACATTGAATTGTCTACAGACCATTTCCCCTAAAAAATGTCACACACACCAAATTCTAGAAGTGACAGCAATTAATCACTGCCAGAAATGAGAGACAAAAGCATTGAATAATGTTTGTGCTTCACAATAAAAAGGCACTTCATGTGTAATTTGCTGGAATCTGTGATCTGTTGTTCTGACTTTGACAGGAGGAGACTGCACACACAAAAAAATTCCCTATATAGAACCTGCTTGTTGTAGTGGGGCTTTATCCTCTGAGCATTACTGCAGATGAAAAGTTACACCTCACGCTCCTTAAAGAATCTGAGAGAAATCAAACATTATTGGAATGCCAGGTGCGAGTCTCCCTTGGTGAAGGGACAGGGAAATGAAAACTCCGATGATAAGAAGGGGGAAAAAAATCAATATAATTTTTAGCCTCCCAGGCAAACTATCAGGCAGTTAGAATGATGCATCATGCAGACTTAAAGCCAGTTCTTCTTTGCCTCACAATCCGCCTGGTTTCCTGCCTAGCAAACTACAAAAGACAAAGCTGTCTTTCATCTTGTGGCTTGCATTATTCATCTAGCAGTCGCTGACAGTCACTTAATTTGACTGATTTTGTCACAGTGTTACTTTCAAACAGCTCCCTGCTTCTCCTAACCATCAGCTTTCCAAGAATACATGTGAAAACATCAACATTTACAGCAGAACGCTCGTCCTTTTTTGTCTGTGACGTCCCTGGGTTTCCCCCCCCTGCACCGAGAACTGCACCCTCTGTTAGTGCAATAGAAGGGATTATTCATTATATGAGCAGGAGGAAAAAAATAGCGGATGCATAGCTAGTTAGCTTTGGAACAGCCCAGCGTGATTGAATTTAATGGGATATGAAAGCAGACAGCCTGGGCACATCACACACCATGAGGAAAGTTAGCTGCTACAATGAGAACGCCGCCCACCCGACACATTTTGGAATCCATTTTATTTCAGTTCAGTTGTTTATCAGTTCCCTTTTATCAGCATTTACTAAATGCCAATTAGTAAAAAGAATCCCAGCAGAGAGAGTAAAATCTTCCCTCATCTTGAGTGAGCTTGTTGCCGCGGTGAGGAGCCCTCCTTTAAAGGAGAAGCAGACCTCTGGGACTCTCCGTAATTCATCTGTACACCGCTGTCATCTGCCAAATCGCCAATGACCACTTGTAAGTCAGCAGTGTCACAGGAGGCCAGGCTGGCCCAGACCATCATACTGCATCAATCTGTTTTACAGGCAATGTGTTAGATGATTTCTTGCTAGGTTTTTAAGATGTTCTCTACAATTTAATGTGACTTTTTTCCTTAGCTTGTTTTTGGATGGCTTCACAGCTTGTTGTAAATATTCTGTAAAGGTTTTATGTAGTCTTTAAAGCAAACTGCTCTCTTTCATGTGGTGTTGGGTCAGTTCCAGGCTTTGGCACAAGTATTCATACCCCTCAATGATTTTTGTATATTGTCATGTTACAACCACAAACTTCAACATATTTAATGTGATTGATCTACACAAACAAGTGCGTAATGATAACCAAACCCATCCCAAAAAAATGGAAAGAGTACGGCTAAACAGAAAACCTGCAGTCAGTTTTTACATGACATGGTGGTGCACCTGAAATAGCATGCTGGGGCAACCGTAGCAACAATCAAATAAGCATCCCTGAGGCTCATGGAAACTCTGTAGGATCTGGCAGTTTATGAGCCACATAGCAAACACAGCACACATTTGACAGAAGAATCTGAGCGATTGCTGTTACATCTAAGCAGTGGTGGATGCACTTTCACTAAAGCACTAACAGCAGAGCTAATTTTGCGTTTAGGGCTTTAGCATTTTTGCTAACTTTGAAACTGCTTAGCTGCCCATAAATTAAAATTTCCAGATAAACCTGAAGTGTTACTTTACTTTTTGTAAACTTTTCAATAGTATAAGGTTTGCTGTCTGTGTTGAAGTTTTGGTGAATGACTGTAGCTGGATGTGTATTCATGCTGAAGTGAGTGAAGAATGTTAGTGTGTAGTGATTCTGTTGCTTCTCCAGTGCATTAATCTTTTTTTTTGTAACCAGAATGCATCACTGTTCCACTGTAAACAGTTTAAAATATACTGATGTCCTGTGTTCTTTTCTGTGGTCAACTAGGCAAAAACAAGCAAAAAGCAGGAATAAAACTGAAACCATGAGTGAAGGGTTTATTTGTGAAAGCACCAGAAGTACATGTAGGGGGCCAGTAACAATTTCTATCCAATATATTTTGCTGTCACACATGTCAATGACTAATGGTGGCTATCAACGTGGTTGAATTATGGACTTTAACATTAGCTTTTGCTAAACTCTCCATAGAAATGGCTCTCCATAGTGTTAGTGGAACAAATGTTTATGGTTATTGCTTTAAGGTGAGCTAACTTTTTAGTTAGTAACCACCACTGGTTTTTTGCTGTTAGATATTTTTGTCACATTGTCTTCAGACTTTTAAGACAAGAGTTTCCACATCCAAATGATGCTTTAAATATCCAGTACTTAACATAGATAAGCTTATTTTTTTTATTTTGATCAATTAAAAACAGAGATCTATTTGCCATCTTCCACTTCTCCATCTTTGGATGCAATATTCAGAAACAAACTGATAATGGTTTATTTTATCCAACTGACACACTTCTTTAAGATCCCAGCAGCGGGTCGATTCATTCCAGTGGGAGACATAAATGTGCAGACAGTCTCTGCTCAATACATTTGCCACAAAAAGGGAGATGTGCATCTTTACACCTCCACACCAGGCATCGCTAATCCTTAGCCACAAGCATCTTGGATTGTAGCTCTGAGCTGCAGCAAAGAGAGTCTTTGTTGGGATTTTTTTCCACAGCCTCCCCTAACTATTCTGCTAGATGAGGCTCTGCTCTGCCCAGGTAATGCTTTGCCCTGTTTGGATCCGGTTCCTGCACAGGCTCTTCTCAACAGTCTTCTGCAATGGGGGTCAATGCT